TGTGGTGCTTAAGGATCGAACCAGGGCCTCACATGTGCGAGTTGAGCGCTCTCCTGCTAAGCCACAACCCCAGCCTGAATATATCATTTTTAATATAGTCACATTTCTTAGTCTTCTCCCCCACCCCCCGTTTTTTTAAAATTTGGGAACCATTTTAACAGTTCTTCTCTATTGTTATATATTTATCTACATATATAGAATTAATAATAGATACTGTTTGTTAAATGGTACATTTTATGTGTGTTTATAAGAGAAAACTGATTAATTTTAAACCATTCATAAGATTTCTTTCCATACACCACATCTTATTTCTTTGTTTATTTGTTGTAGTCCTGACAATTAAACCCAGGACCTCAAGCACACTAAATAAGTGTTCTATCACTAAGCTACATTTCCAGCCACCACATATCACATTTTAAAACATAACAGTTAGCATGACCAGAAAGTTCCCCCTCATGCCTAACTTATGCATATGTATTTATTCATTTATTTTTTATTTTCAGTACTGGGGATTGAATTTGGGGTCACTCTACCAAGGAGCTACATGCCTAGCCCTTTTCTTTTTTCTTTAATTTATTTTTTAGTTGTACACAATACCTTTATTTTGTTTATTTATTTTTATGTGGTGCTGAGGATCAAACCCAGGGCCTCGCATGTGCTAGGTGAGTGCTCTACCACTGAGCCATAACCCCAGCCCACTAGCCCTTTTCTTATTTTTTGAGACAAGGTCTTGCTAAGTTGCCTAGGCTGGTCTCAAACTTGCAATCCTCTTAAGTTGTTGGAATTACAGGTGTGCACCTGTATATGTATATATGTGTGTGTGTGTGTGTGTGTGTGCGTGCGTGCATAGATATGTATATATATTCCTTTTTTGTATTATTATTTTGTTGTATAATTGGCAACCAATAAACTCTGCTGTAAAAAATGTGCAATTTTTATGTTTCTAATTATAATTGGGCATAATACCTTTATTTTATTTGCTTATTTTTTTTATGTGGTGCTGAGGATTGAACCCAGCACCTTGCCCATGCTAGGTGAGCGCTCTACCGCTGAGCCACAACCCCAGGCCCTAAAATGTGCAATTTGATCAGGTTAATTTATGTATGTGTGTATACACACACACACACACACACACACATATATATATACACACACACACACACACACATACACACTATGCCCATTGTAAAACCATCAGTGCAATCAAGGAATGTATCAATCACCCTCAAGGTTTCCCTATGACCATTTGTAATCCATTTCCCAGACCTACATTCAACTCCGCCCTTGGCCAACCACTGCCTTCTGTCACAATAGATCATTTACATTTTTAGAACATATATATTTGTATATCTCTTTTGGGGGGTCTGGTTTCTTTCTACTCAGCATAATTATCTTGAGATTTATTTATGTGTTACAGCTATCAGTCAAGCTTTGCTTTTGTTGGTGAGTATATTCTGTGGATACAGTACAAATCATTTATTCATTCACCTGCTAATAGACACTTGTGTATATTTGCTTTCATTTTTCTTGGGTTAATACCTAGGAATGAAAGGACTGCATCATATGGCAGACGCAGGTTTCACTTTTTAGGAAACTGCCAAATGTTCTTCCAAAGGGGTTGTGCCATTTTCCCATTACATATTTATTTACCTGTATTCTCAAGATACCCTTATTAAATTCTAAATATGCTAGAATCTATTCATACAGACTGTTAAAAGTAAAATTTAAGCCAGGTGTAGTGGTGTATGCCTGTAATCCCAGTGGCTCTGAAGGCTGAGGCAGGAGGATTGCAAGTTCAAAGCCAGCCTCAACAACAGTGAGGTGCTAAGCAACTCAGTAAGACCTTGTCTCTAAATAAATACAAAATAGAGATAGGGATGTGGCTCAAGTGTCCCTGAGTTCAATCCTCACTAAAACATAAGATTTAAACTTCCCAACTGAATCCTTAATATCAAAATCCCCCAAAACCATCTGCTGAATAATCCATCTTCTCTTCACTAAGGTGAGATTTCATTTTTAAACATACTAATTCCCTATATAAACTAGAGGTCTATTTCTAGATTTCAGGTTTTGTTTCAATGATCAATCAACTTATTTCTGTCCTAGTTAACACACTAAATTAGTAACTGGAACTTTGTGTCACATTTTAATATCTAGGAGGGCAGCTTCTCATACCACTCCCTCTCCCAGGTGTTTTTAATTAAAAAAAAAATTTAAGGTGGATATGGTGGCTCATGCTTTGTAATCCCAGAGACAGGAGGCTGAGGCAGCAGGATTACAAGTTAGAGTCCAGTCTCAGCAACTTAGCAAGGCCCTATCTCAAAACAAAAAAATAAAAAGGGCTTAAAAAAAAAAATAGAATAGTGGTTGCCAGAAACTAAAGGGAAGGGGAAATGAGGGGAAGTTGTTCAATTGGTATGGAGTTTCAGTTTTGCAAGATGAAAAAGCTCTAAAGACCTATTGCACAACAATGTGAAATACTTAACAAAGCTGAATTGTATACTTAGACATGATTATTATGGTAAACTTTACAATAAGTATTATATTTAATACTAATTATAAATCTTTTTATTTAAAAAATAAATTGCTATCTTTTTCATAAATAAATTTGTTTACTTTTTCAGCTACAGTAAGAAGATAAAGAAATCTTTTTCAGCTAAGATAATAGAAAAACACATTATGGATTTTCAAGAACCCTATTCATATTTTGGTTGTTCCTATATTAACTAGGAAGAATCAACATCTATATAGTAAAATCAGGAATATGACTTTTCTCACTTTAAAAAAAAATTAGAGTATTATAGTTATACATATAGTTGGGTTTATCTCATCACTTTTTTTTAAATATTTATTTTTTAGTTTTTTAGGTGAACACAATATCTTTATTTTTTATTTTTTTAATGTGGTGCTGAGGATTGAACCCAATGCCTCACACATGCCGAGCGAGCACGCTACCACTTGAGCCACATCCCAAGCCCCTATCTCATCACTTTTGAAACTATCATTTCCTCACTAAAATTTCAGTTTTCTTCAAATAGATCATAGATATTTCTGTTAATTTATCATAATATATTTTTAACTTCTGTTGTTTATTGTGATATCATGTTTCTATTAAAAAGCTAAAACAAGGTTATTCATTATTGCATATTTATTATACCTACACCTTTGTCAATTTCCTTGATTTCATTAATAATTACTTTCCAGTTTATTCTCATGAAATTTCCTGATAATTATATTACCTAATAAAAACAAGTATACTTTTTTTCTAATCTCTTCAAAGGATAAGTATATTTTAGATTTTAAAAATATTGTCATTATATGGTATTTTTTTTTGGTGGAGAGGTTGCTAGAAATTGAGCCCAGAGCCTTTTACATTCTAGGGTGGCTCATGCCTATAATCCCAGAGACAGGAGGCTGAGGCAGCAGGATTACAAGTTAGAGTCCAGTCTCAGCAACTCTACCACTGAAGTATATCCCAAGGCCCAGGAACATTTTTTAAAATCCATTCTTTTCATATACTATCCATTTGGCATAATATGTATAAATTACATTTATAAATAAAATACTAAATAAAGAAAAAGAGGGACGAATGGTCACAGCAGCAATCCCAACTCAAGTCTATACCACCAGCATTGTTCTGGTATGAAAAGAATATACTACAAGGCTTCTGGAAACATTTGTTCACAAAACAAAGATTTCTGAACAGAGATAGTCTCTACCATCAAACTATATCTGTCAAAGTTCTCACTTCTCTGTTCCTCATTTGAAAAGAAAAAAAGGACCAGGGCTGGGCTCAGTAACAGAGTGCTTGCCTAGCTCGTGTGAGGCCCTGGGTTCTATCCTTAGTACTTCATAAAAAAATAAACAAATAAAATAAAGGCATGTTGTCCATCTACATCTACAAATTTTTTTTTTTTCTAAAAAAGAACTATGTTTAGGAATACTTACTTGTCAATGCACACTTTAATCTTAAGCTGATAATTCAACTCAGGGAATTTGACCAGCAACCTATTAAAAAATAATAATAATAATTCTTTCTTTAAAAAAGTCAGTATGCTCCCCCACCTCAAACCTCCAGTTTAGATGATGTAAAGTTCATAATTCCTCATTTCTAAGAGGTAAAGAAGTCATAATCCCAAATTCATCCTCTAGGCAAGGCCATCTTTGATCTTAAGCTGAACATTACCCACTTTGGCCAAAAGGTATAGATAAAAAGCCTAAGAACTAAGGACTTGGTCAAAGTTATAGAAGTTTCACAAAAGGATAATAAAAAACATTTAGTGAAAAATATCACAGGAACATGCTCTGTAGCTGGTATTATTTCTATTAAACTTATAACTCAATACCAAAATGAAGGTGATTCATGTCTGTGATCCCAGTGACTCAGGAGGCTGAAGCAAGAGGATCACAAGTTCAAGGCCAGCCTAGGCAACTTAGTGAGATCCTTTCTTAAAATAAAAAATAAAAAAGGGCTGAGGATGTAATTTACTGGAGAATGCCCCTGGGTTCAATCTCAAGTACTACAAACACACACACACATACCATGCTGGCAAATATCATACTCACAACAGCACTGCCTGTGAGGCCTGAAAAAAACAACCCTGAAAGTAGGTGCAGTGCTGGTGCCTACAGTTCCAGCTACCCAGGCCAAGGTGGGAGAACTACTTGACTCCAGGATGTGGAGACCAGCCCAGGCAATACGGTGAGAGCCCATGTCAGGACAAAACAAAACAAAACACCAACTCTGACTCTAAAGGTATCCTTCAACAAAACTTCCACCCAAGCAGAAATGCCATGGCCTACCTGACTTTAGTGGTGAACTGGACACCAGTCTTGATGACTAACGGCCGGTCAGGATGCATGGGCATGCAGGGCTGCCGCTCAACCACAAAGGCACTGAAAGGGAAAAGGTCAGCTTGTCACATACTACTGTGGTGACAAGTCTTTTTTCTGATCCTCTGAAGTCAGTTAATCTCTCACCTCAGGACATTTTTTGGGGCCAGGGGATGAGAGAAGGTGACAAAGATTTTAAGTTACCTTTTCATTAAGTTTCTGAACAGCTCCACGATTCTCTCCTCCAGCATTGGCCGGTGCTGTACAATGGGGTCCCCTTTGTAGGAAACTTTTTGCTGCAACTCCTCCAGTTTCTTGATTTGCTGGCGGGTCTGAAGTTGGGATTCTGCTAATGAGGTGATCCTGCCAGTAAAATAGGAAAGTTTCCAGTTACCTGGTAAACAGACACAGGTGGGAATGGGAAGGGGAAAGGGAGGGGCATACCATAGGTATAAATACCACTAAGAAAGCCCCTCAAATAACAAAGGGGAATTTTCTTCTATTGTGGTAAAACATACATGGCATAAAATAGACCATTTTTAACCATTTTAAGAATATAGTTCAGTGACATTAAGAAAAAGGAATTTATTTTGCTTTTTTTTTTTAATAGTCCCTAAAATTTCGAATTTCAAAGATGGGATTGGACATAAAGGAAGAAATGTTAAAACTTGCAGCATTAGGAGACACTGGTGGAGTTATCACTGGAACATGAAAGCATTAGACTCCGATTCGGTGGATATAAACTATAAAGATTGGCACTCACTTTAATTATCCTAACTTGTCCATATGTTAAAATGTGAAACTGGGAACTAAAGGGGAATAGATAGCCTCAGAAGACTTGGATTTAAGCCAAGCTTACTACCTGTGCAGGTTTGGACAAGCCTCTTCACCAGGGTAGGTCTGGTGCATGAAGGAAAGGGGTCGATGTGCATGATTCCCACAAGCCCTTTCAATGTCAACTCTCAATAGATATTATGCTTCAAAATGTTAATAACATGCATAGAGGAAAAAATAAGCAGAGAGCCCTGTGGTGTTGCACACCTGTAATATCTGCAACTCAGGAGGCTGGGGCAGGTAGATCACAACTTTGAGGTCAGCCTCAGCAACTTAGTGAGGCCCTAAATAACACAGAGAAACTGACTCAAAATTTAAAAATTAAGGGGCCAGGGTTGTGGCTCAGTGACAGAGTGCTTGCCTAGCAGGCATGAGGCACTGGGTTGGATCCCCAGCACCACATAAAAATAACAAATACAAAAATAAAGTTAATTTTTTTAAAATAAAAAGAACTGGAGAAGTAGCTCAGTGGTAAAGTACTGCTGGGTTCAATTCCTAGTACCAAAAAAAAGATTGTACTAACTTTGTGGGCCTATGGTTATGACCATAATTCAATTCAGTTTCTAAAAGGAAAAGAAAAGTTTCTCTTCCAACTGTTACCAGTTTTCCAGACGATCCAGGCAGATGTTAGGAGGGCCTCCAATGCAAGCAATCTGTTGCCGCCTCTTCCAGTCAGCCAGCTCTTCGTCAGTAAGTGTTTTCTGCACATACTCCATTGCTGACAAAAGCCCCGCCAGTTCACTCACGATGCTCTGGTTGGAAACCAAAACAAAGTCAGAAAACATTTCCCCACACTGTCTCTAACCACATTCTTTAGTCAGTTCCAGAGAAGGAACTTATTAGAAACCAGTTCTGCCACAAGACATGCAAGGCACCAGGGAAGCTGTCCAAGGCGCTTACTCTCCGCATCTGGTCCAGCGCTGTGAGCATCTGCTCCAGCTGCTGCATCTTCTGCCTGGTCACAGACTGGTTGTTTCCATTCAGATCCTGCATGTCTGTAGGCAAAGGAAAGACCCCTTGACCAGAGGGAATACTCTCAGCCTTCAAAATAAGGCTTCGGAGCCAGGTGCAGTGGTGCCCGCCTACAGTCCCAGCTATTCAGGAGACTGAGGTAGGAGGATTGCAAGTTCAAGGCCAGACTCAGCAACTTAGCAAGTCCCATCTCAAAACACAGACAATAAAAGAGGTACCATTAAGCAGCAGGAGTCCCTCACCTCCCACCATAAAGTCTAACAGAGTTAAGACAAAAAAGTCTTTAAACTCACTTTCTATGGGAGATTTTAACGTCTCTAATATTCACTTGCCTCCTTGACTCTTGAGGGTTTTATAGTTGAAATCAAAGTCATCCTGGAGATTCTCTACCACTTTCATTTTCTGTTCTAGATCCTGTTTAAAATAAATAAAAAACAGAAGTAAAATTTAAAAAAGGTTTCCTTGGGAAAAAAAAATTCTGAGAAGAATGAAAATGTGCACGCAAGACCCACTCTCGATAGCCCCAATCCAAGCTTCTCAGCCAGGACCTACTTTACCTGTACTCGCTTTCGAACATCCTGAAGGTGCTGCTCCAGCATCTGCTGCTTTTCCGTCACCACAGCAGCTGTGGGGTGGTTGGCCTGGCCCCCTTGCTGCCAAATAGTGGGTAAGCACACATATAAACACACAGAACATGGGGGAAGGAACACCCCCATCTGGCCTCCATCCCTCCCTACTACCCTTCCTTGCTATCCCCTGCCACTAGGAGAGGAGAGGAAACAGAGGCAGCGGAACTGTGGGCAGGGTGCCAAGGAATCCCTCATGTTTTACCTGTGTCACTGGCTTTTTACCAACAGATCATACTATATACCCACTCTGGATTGAACTAGGAGTCCACATGTTGAACTAAGACATGGTCCCTGCCCTCAAACAGTTCATGGGTAAGGATGTAAAGAAATTTCAGAACAGGCTGGGGTGTAGCTCCGTGGTAGATTATATGCTTGGCATGCCGGGTTCAATTTCCAGCACTACAAAAATAAACAAATTCAGAATACCTGATGATAGCAGATGTCAATCTACTGAAACATGGTGTGCAAACATTTCTGTGGAATAAAAGCACCATCCTGCCCTAAGGATGAAATTCCGTATCAACGGATGTGCTCTCAGGGGAGAAGGAGAGGCTAGTACCTTGAAAAGATCAATTAGTCCATAACATTTTAGGATTTGCTAGGTTTTGTGAAAGAGCAGTAATAAAAGATCTTGGACAGAAAAGACCATGTAAAAGCCAGAGATCAAGATAGTGTGATAGTGGCCCAAGGACAGAGATGGCAATGAATGGGGCAGATTTGAGAGTCCAGGAAAGATGTTATCTACCCAGGAGTTCAAGCTAGAAACCCTTAGGCATCTGATTTCTCCCTGATTTCACACTGACTCATCAACTCTCCTGGTCCATTCCCTGCAATCTCTCAAACCGACCTTGAGTATCAAGGGCTCAGTTCAAGCCCCAACTGCTGTTCTCTTTGCTTCTAAACTCTCTTACTTCCAATCTGTTCTCTGCCTTTCTACCAGAAGTCTCCAAAATAGGTGTGAACATGCCGGTTTAAAAACTCCCTCCCTTTCCCATGCCTAGCCAAGCAAAGATAATACAAACTTCTTAGAAATCTTGGGAGGGCAACCCCTGCCCCTAGTTACTCTCCCAGGGGTGGGAATGACTCATTTGATTGGTAAGATTGAGAGAAAGACTTTCTCTGTCCAGAGACATGTCAAAGAGCCCAGTCCTGGAGCTTCTGCCTGCCTCTCTCATTGTTGCCTGCCTCAGCTTGCTTGGGGCAGGAGCAGGTCTTGGTTTCTAGAGGTCTCCTTCTTTGTATTCAGCAGGTATCAGTCCATGGTCTCTTAAGCTTTGTAACCCCCATCTCTCCACCCCAAGTTCTAACTCGGGCAACAGGTGTTAGAAAGACCCTGTGGTTACCAGCTTAAGCCATGCTTTCCAATCTAGTTCTACCAGAAATATAGCTATTTTCATTTGCATTTGGCTCCCATGTCCTAGTTCTCAATTGGTGCTGCTCTTAAAGGGAGCAGAACCCAAAACACAAAGATATTGCAAACAATCTGATAAATTTAACTTGCCCTCTCCATGTCTCAGTGACCCCTAACCACCCATTCTTCTCTGTATACGGTATGCTCCCACACTTCACCTCCTGCACACTGTCCACTCAGCCTGGTGTGCACCTCTGCCCAAGCACCCGTGAACTTGTTCACCTTCACTTTCAATTCAAAGGTTCACTCTCCTGTGAAATCCTCTACAACTTCCTTGGACAAAATGACTCACATCCTCTTCTGTGTTTTTCTCACCTTGAGTATTTGTGCATAATCTAACTAGCTTCAGAGCCCATTAAGTAGCAGGGATTACTTTTTTTTTTTTTTTTTTTGGTACCAGGGACTGAACCCAGGGACACTTAACTAGTGAGCCACATCCCCAGCCCTTTTTAAAAAATTTTGAGATGGGGGTATCACAAGCTGCTTAGGGCCTTGGTAAGTGGCTGAGGTTGGCTTTGAACTTGCGATCCAGCCTCATCCTCTGGAGGTGCTGGTATCAGAGGTGTGCACCACTGCACCCAGCAAATTGTATCTTTTCTTCTATTTCTTTCTGCTTTTACCTATGCTGGGCATTTAAGAATGTGCCACATGATATAAATGGAGAAAAAAAGAGTGAAGCCTGGACTGAGGCCACAAATATCCAACTTATAGCTCTCTATCAGAGACTGTGAATGTTTTCTGTTGGGGCCAGATGATGAATGTTTTTTGCCTTCTGGGCCACATAGTCTCTGCTTCAAATACTCAGTTGTGCTACTGTGGCATGAAAGCAGCCACAAATAATTCATAAATGAATAAATGTGGCTGGGTTCCAAAAAACTTCATTTATAAAAATAAGCCATATGCAGCGGCACATGCCTACAATCACAGCCACTTGGGAGGCTGAGGTAGGAAGACTACTTGAACCCAGGAGTTGGCACCAGCCCGAGCAACCTGGCAGGACCCTGTGTCTTAGAGATGCGGGGAAGAGGCTAGATTGGGGCCTTTGACAGTTTTCAGACCCTGGGTCCTACAGGACTAAGAACATTCTTTTGCTTTCCTATCTCCCATGGTAAAGTTAGAGCCTCTGCTCAAATTGACTTAAACCAAAATGTTTTTTTATCTTGGGGAACAGGATGAAGACATGAAGGTTCTCATAATACATAATACACACAGGCAAGTGCCTCTTAGCCTCTCAGGCTGCAGGTATGGAACAGTGAGTGTTATCAGTGTTAGCTTCTCTTTCACCCACATCGGAGTATAACAGTTTTCTGTGAAAGTTCTTTAGTGGGTTCCCGTTTCTCACAGTAGTGGTGATATTGGTGATGATGATTAACAGCAGCAGCAAAAGGCAGTTAACACTTATTTCACACTTCTGTGCCAGATACTATTCCAAGCATTTTACATGTATGAAGTAATTTAATTCTATGATGTAGGCACACTGTCGTTCTCTTTAGAGGAAGAGTAAGTAGTTTTCTTAAGATGCACAGTAAGTGGTAAAGCAGCAGGATTCAAACTCAGGGAGTTTGGCCTTTGAGATGAACTGCTCTTCCAAAGCCCAGTTACTAGATGTGACTAATTAAAAACATTTTCATGTGGTCCCTGAGTCACTTAGGTCCCCTCACCCTGCCAGATACTGAACTTGCTACCCTGCTCCCAAGAACATATGTGTTTATGTTTCCATCTTTGAACACGATCTTCTTTGAGCCCAGTGCTCTCTCATCATCTGTCTGAGTTAGTTTTAAGGCTCAGCTCAAACACAGCCTCCTCTTTCTGTGATGCTTTCCCCACAGTCTAGGTTGACTTAGATGATCTTTCTTTTATCACCTTAATAAATTGTTCTATTAAAAAAAAAAAATGCCTGGAAGGGTGGCCCAGCCACTCAGGAGGCTGAGGCAGGAGGATCATAAGTTTGAGGCTAGCCTCAGCAACTTCGCAAAGACCTAAGCACATTAGTGAGACCCTGTTTCAAAAATATAAAAAAGACTGGGGATGTGGCTCAGTGGTTAAGCACCCCGGGGTTCAAATCCCAGTACAAAAAAAAAAAAAATCATGGCGTTGGCTTTTTTGGCAGTATGGGTGGTATAACGCTTTTAATGTATTTTTCAGTGTATTTTTATGGCCACTCTATTTTAAATGTTTTTCCTTTGTTCCGAGTATAGTTAATATTGCTTGTGCAGTTGTTTGATTTTCTGTTTCTCCCAATCTGATGCTGTTTCTTCCTGGGTCTCACCTGGGCTGCAGTGGCTGCAGTCTGGAGGAGGCGGGACTCTTCCCACAGGCACCTAGCCACTATTCGAGCGATCTCCATTGGCTTCTCAAGATACCTACTCTGTATGTAGGAGAGAAAGACAATGAAAAGCTGCAGCAGACTTTGGAGATATGGACTGAATTTTGTTAACTTACAACTAATTTCTATATAAACTGAGGAAAGCCTTATATATACTACATGAAACAACAGCTGAAGGCCTCAAAGCCTGGCAGAAATCAGTGGGGAAGACAGGGGAAAAGAGAAGAAGAAAGGTGGTTACAATGATGACAGACAGCATATGAGCCTGGGTCTTTGGACAGTATGTTACCCTGGTCTTACAGGGAGGTACCTGATTTTATCTAGGAGTATTAAATTTCTGGCCAAACTTTTTTTTTTTTTTTTGTACTAGGGACTGAACCCAGGAGCACTTTACCACCGAGCAAATCTCTAGCCCTTATTTTTCTTATTTTGAGACAGAGTCTTACTAAATTGCTGAGGCTGGCCTCAAACTTGCAATTCTTTACCTCCAGAGCTGCTGGGATTACAGGAGTGTGCCATCATGCCCAGCCAATTTCTAGTCAAACTTTTTTTTTTTTTTTTTTTTGGTACCATGGTTTGAACTCAGGGGCACTCAGTCACTGAGCCATATCTCCAACCCTATTTTGTATTTTTTTATTTGGAGACAGGGTCTCACTGACTTGCATTGCTAAGGCTGGCTTTGAACTCATGATCCTCCTGTCTCAACCTCCCGAGCTGCTGGGATTACAGGTGTACGCCACAGAACCTGGCTCTGATCAAACTTTTAACAATTAAAATAAGAATTGCTGGGCACCATGGCACATGCCTGCACCCCCAGCTACTGGGGAGTCTGAGATGGGAGGATCGAGAGTTCAAAGCCAGCCTCAGCAACAATGAGGTGCTAAGCAACTCAGTGAGACCTTATCTCTAAACAAAATACAAAATAGGGCTGGGGTGTGGCTCAGTGGTCAAGTGCCCTGAGTTCAATCCCTGGTACCCCAAAAAAGTAAATAAATAAAAGTAAGAATTTCCCAGTGGGGGCTGGGGTGATGGCTCAGTGGTAGAGTGCTTGCCTAGCATGTGTGAGGCACTGGGTTCAATTCTCATCACTGCATATAAATAAATAAAGTAAAGGTTCACTGACAACTTTAAAAAAAAATTGTCTGGTGCAGTGGCATATATCATATAATTTCAATGACTCAGGCAGCTGAGACAGGAGGATATCAAGTTGGAGGCCAGCTTGGGCAATCTAGTGAGACCTTTAGCAACTTTGCAAGACCCTGTCTCAAACCTCTTGTGAGGGGTAGGTGTTACTAGCCTGCTAACATAATATGATTAACATTACAACAATCACTTTATTACTTCAACTGTGACATGAGAAGTCAATTTCTGGTAATGATGCTTAAGGGTGAGCATGCAGAAAATTAAGAAAGGGCTAATTCTTTCTCCTTTGATAGGTTCTCATTATTTAACCAAATAAGGAAAGAAGTTCTTCCAGGAAAGAAGCTAACACCCTACTCTGCGGATCCACTGTCTTCTGTACATTTTCCCATCGCACCTGAAGGAACTGCTTGATTCTTCGCAGATTGTGCTGATAGAGAACATTGGACTCTTGTAGGAAGCGGCTGTATTGCTGGTCAATCTCACCCAAGAGATTATGAAACACCAATGTGGCATGAGATTCTTTGCTGGCAGCATATGCCCTGGGAAACACAATAAGAATAATTCTGAAACCTATACCTACACACACACACACACACACACACACACACACACACACACATTCACACACTCAGAAATCACCATGAGGAGAGATTAAAAAAGGCAAACCTGATGCTATAACCCAGTTATCATTTTCCATTTTCCTTGCTCAGCAACTACATGATTATTAACAATTATTCCACATATTATTGCCCCTCTCATAGTATATATATAATATTTGAGCAAATTGGACAGATACGTGGTTTTGCTTTAAATTCTCATCAACTCTGTGGTCAGATGATTAGTACAAATAAGCACTTATTAGTATAATAAGCAATGGCCTATCTCCAGCATCTCTGAATCACATCTTGGCCCCTCACCAAATCAGGTATGTATTCTGAAAAAACTAGGTCATATTAATAGAGGCCTGAGTTAAACCAAAATTAATAGATGGACCTAAACATGTTAAAGAAACTAGTTGTTATTATCTCCTATATGAATGGAATCTATTTCTCTTACCCAGTGTCTCTTTCCTATAATTAAAGGGAATCATATGTGCTGACTCAAATTTCTATCTGTAATGAAATTCTCAAATTAAAATATTTCTACCACATCACTGGAGTATAGGAATACTTTTGGATCTCAAGTAAATAAGATTCAAATGAATCTTCAACACATCTACCACCAAGCAGTCTGAGTTTTTGGGTTTTTTTTTTTAATATTTATTTTTTAGTTTTAGGTTGACACAATATCTTTATTCTATTTTTATGTGGTGGCTGAGGATCAAACCCAGTGCCTTATGTAGGCTAGGCAAGCGCACTACTACTTAAGTCGCATCCCCAGCCCTTTTTTGTATTTTATTTAGAGACAGGGTCCCACTGAGTTGCTTAGCGCCTTGCTAAGTTGTTGAGTCTGGTTTTGAACTTGTGATCCTCCTGCCTCAGCCTCCTGAGCTGCTGGGATTCTAGGCGTGCACCACCACATCCAGCAGGACTTACCAGTCTTGACTCTCAATCCAAGGTGCAAGAAACTGCCGGAGCTCCATTGGGAAGCTGTCGCTGTACAGCTGATGAAGCTGCTCCAGGTACCGTGTGTCTAGCTGCTGAAGCTGATTCCACTGGGCCATCCTGCTGAAATCAGGGGGGGTCCCAACTGTAAACCAAAGTGTTCATATGGTCACCACAAGCCCCAGTGGATGTAAATAATCTGAAAATACCCCATCTACCCAACACAGATATCAGGTCTATGACTGGGGATAAAAGACGCATTGGGAAGAATCCTACATATTTTTCCCAGTTTAGAACATTAGAACAGTACATACATATTCACAATCTTTGTCTCTGGAACATCACATCTTTGTGTGTGTGTGTGTGTGTGTGTGTGTGTTAATTACTAGGGATTTAATCCAGGGGTGCTCTACCTCTGAGCTACATCCCCAGTCCTGTTTTTTATTTTATTTTGAGACAAGTTCTGACCAATTCGTTGAGGCTGGCCTCAAACTTGTGATTCTCCTGCCTCAGCCTCCTGAGTAGCTGGGATTATAGGTATGTACCACCAATATAGCTTTTTTTCAGAAGGATAACAAGTAGACATGATTCCAAGTTTTAGAATCCATTATCTACTAGAAATATGTGTAGTTGAAAAATCACTTAAGTACAAGATTTCTATTTCCTCATTTATAATATGAAGATCACATTTCCTATCCCTCAGGGCCAATGAGATAATATTTCTAAAGTTCCCAGCTCCATGCACAGCACACAACAGATATTTAGCAAATGTCATTTTCTTTATTTCCCCACAACACTTCTTTTAGGTGAAGTGTAAAATATACCCAGTGTACTAAAATACAGGATGTGGATGTTCAACAAGGACCAAGAGGGGCAGGGGCTAGGGCTCAATGGTAGAGCACTTGCCTGACCCGTGTGAGGAACTGGGTTCAATCCTCAGCACCACATAAAAATATATGAATAAAATAAAGGCATGCTCTCATCTACAATTATAAAATTAAAAAAAAAAAAAAAAAAGAAGGACCAAGAGCTAATTCCAAGTCTACACATTTAAGAGGATAAATGACCAAGTGCCCTGGGATTCTCCCACTCAATAAAAAGTAATTTTGATTTTTTTTTTAGTTTCTAAGTCTGGGATGAGGAAGAAGGGGAGCTAAATAGCAGGTATACAAATCATTCCCAGTTTCACCAATATGCCAGTAAAATGCTCAGGTGTGAGAAACCAATCCAGCTAATCACTTCCAGTCCTCTCTGTGAATAGTTCGAGTCACAGAAATGTCAATACAGAACAAATAGTCTTAAGAAGATCTAAAAATAGCTACAAGTAAGTGCCAAAGACTAAGAAGTGGGACATGCACACCAAACACTAGCTGGAACAAAAACTTAGTCAAAGCTCAGGCTCCAAACCCAAGCCTTGTAACCATGGCTGTAGTAATATCAGTAAGAAACCAAAGGTTTAGATCTCTTTTAAAGTACTCACATGAGGACCAAGTTAAAATCTGCCTAGTAGACCAAAAGCATCAAAATCTACAGTCTGCTTCTCAGGATCTTATTTACATAAAGATCTATCTGCGAAATTTATGTAGATTCTACCACATGCCAATGTACTGAAACTCAAGACTCTATAGAGCAAGCAGTATGGTCACATTGTGGCCACTGAACACATGTCCTCAGCCCTCTTTATTTGGGGGCAAGGTCTCACTAAGTTACCCACGCTGGCCTTGAACTAGGGATTCTCCTGAGTAGCTGGCATTTATAGGCATGGACCACACATTAGGTAGCCCATTTCCTTTTCACTTCTTTTAATATGGCTATTAGAAAATTTAACTTCATATATGTGACTTACATTCCATTTTTATAGGACACTGCTGCTAGACCATAACCAAGAAATGGTGGTTCTCCTAATTGAAAGCCCAAAGAAATAGTTATCAGTTTATCATCATATATTCCAGTGTTATAAATCCATAAAAATAGAATATTTCATTGTGTATCTTAGATAGAAATGCAGAGCTATTACAGACTACTCCTTCAAGTTCCGAGTTAAAACCATAAAACTGCAACCTAGTACACCTGCTCAAATATAGGAGAATGTTGAAGTCGTATATGCACATTTGCATTTTCAAATAACATACCTTAAAAAAATGATAAGTTGTTGAAAACTGTCTGATTAACTTTTAGTCCATAACTCGGAAACTTTTTGTTGTTGTTGTTGCTGCAGTTTGGATGTTTTAGTTGGGGACAAAGGAGGTCCAGTGTATAATAATAATGCTATTTCTTAAACCAGAGACCACTGCAGGGTTTTTTTCCATAAAATTAAAGCACCAAGAATGATGTATTTTATGTTCTACTTTCCAAGAAAAGCACTGTCAAATATTCAAATAGTTATCTCCTTTAAAGGCTGCTAAAATACAAACCATATTTAATTAACAGCAGCCTCGGGGCAATTAAACCCAACTTTCATCATAAGAATAGGATGTCCTTAAGAGAAGACTAGCCCCATTGTCTGTGAAAAATCATCCCCAACTGGCTCTACTGTAATTGTTTTACTGGGAAAAAATTAAGAGTCCACTTTATTATCCCATCTCCATTCTGTTTTTCAAATTATAAATTAATCTAAAGAGTTCCACTAAATTCTAACTAAAATATTTCTTATCTATAAAATAATTCTAAATCTGTGATTTAATAATCACTTCATCAAATCCTTGAACACACAAGGTGATATGCATAATTTGATCACTGAGTACCACTGTGGGTGCCTGGGAGAGAAGCCATCACTCCACAAAGCCCTGGTTAGGGCATTTCATGGGGCTTAACTCTCAGAGCATTTACTAGGCTTAGGTTAACAGATTATAGATGCTTGTGTATAAAGGAAAGGTAAAGTGTGATCCTATTTTTTGTAACTGAAGAGAAAAGAAAAAGAAAAATGAAACAGCAAGTCACTAAAGACTTTCTGGACTTTAATATTTATTGTTTAGTTTTTCAGGTGGACACAATAACTTTATTTTTATGTGGCGCTGAGGATCGAACCCAGTGCCTCATGCATCATAGGCAAGCACTCTACCACTGAGCCACAACCCCAGCCCCACTTTCTGGACTTTTTGAAACAGGAATTTCTCAGCCTCTTGGGGATAACCAATCAACAATAAGACAAACAATTATTGCCCCTCGGGGAACTTATTACTGTAATAAAGATTAATAAAAATGTTCCAGGTCACAGCTCTCATTTACACACTTAAAAAAAAAAAAAACAAGGGATATGTTGAAAACACAGGACCACTTACAAAGGGGATTCATTATATCACTCAGAACACTTCTTTCTAAACTGAGACTTGTACTTCACATCCATGCACCAGTGGATTCACACTAGAGGTAAGAGAACATGAAGAGGGGGGTGGAAATCAGGTGCATACGATCATCTAGAACAGAAAGTGGTCTAAAGATAATTTCTGTTCCAGGAGATTCTTCTTTGGGTATTACCCACACATTATACAAATATTTTAAACAGAGTTTACCCATATTCTACCTGATGCTTATACTATTAGCTCCTCTTTGCCATCAGGAAAAGCCTAGTAGTGACTAAGGCAACCAAAGTATAAAATAACAAAGAAAAACACCTGTATTAATTTCCATAGAAACCAGTCTTCTTAAAAAGGTACTTTAGGGCTGGGGTTGTAGCTCAGTGGCAGAGCACTTGACTAATATGTGTGAGGCACTGGGTTCATTTCCCATCACTGCGTATTAAAAAAAAAAAAAAAGGCCCAATGACAACTAAAAAAATATATTTAAAAAAAAAGGTACTTTAAAAAGATGATAAAAGTAATACTGTTCGCTGTGGAAAATTTAGAATATAAAAAATAAAAGATAAAATCACCCATTTTCCACCATCCTACTGTCCAGAACTACAATTGATATGTTGATGCAATTTCTTATCTTAGAACATGTGTATGTATATATGTGTGTGTGTGTGTATAGAATTGGAATCATGGTATTAATTATAACTTCATATTCTTTTTTTAATATTTATTTTTAAGTTATAGGTAGACACAATATCTTTATTTTATTTTTATGTGCTGCTGAGGATCGAACCCAGGGCCTCACACATGCTAGGCAAGCGCTCTACCTCTGAGCCTCAGCCTCCAGCCCACTTCATATTCTTTTAAAGCTGATTAAAATAAATATTCTTCTATGAAAAGAGATTTTTGTTTAAAGGCCACACAAAATAGCTATCTGGTTCTACTAGTGTTTTCAATACAATCCTGCAAATCCAATTGAGAAGCCACAGAATTTATTTAATTTGCAAACTCTATTTTATTTACTCTTGCTATAAAATATTCCAAAAAGGATTTGAGGTGGCTGCAAACTCCTTAAAGTAGATCAGGAAGGGGGAAATGAGAAAAAGAAAACACGATTAAGGCTGGAGAAAAATATTCACTTTTATAAATTCACTGTAGGATAAACTGTCATGGATGGCAGATAGTCCACATTTAAATACTAAGCTTTAACTATTTGGGCATTCATGATTTAACCACTCATAATTACCCTAGACATAAAGACTTGGGAATGTCAAATGAAAGTTAACTCAAAATAAGTACAATTATAAAGTAAATATATAATCTTAGTGCTTGCAAGTCCAAACAGTACCTTTATAAGGCTTAAGACTGCCTTTTTAGGTTTAATCTGCCTTTACAGTAAGAAATTTATGTTATAAATCTAATTTTGAGGGAGCTGGGGTTGTGGCTCAGTGGTACAGCGCTTGCCTAGCATGTGTGAGGCACTGGGTTCAATTCTCAGCACCACATGTAAATAAATAAAGGTCCATCAACAACTAATAAAATATTTCTAAAAAAAAATCTAATTTTGATTTCCTAAAAAAAAAAAAATTAACACTTGAATGCCCAACTAAAACAAATTATAAATGTTGTAGTTCAATTACAAATAATAAGATTTGTTTTAAAGTTAGAAACTAACTCTTCCCAGTAAAAATGAATATCAGGATATATGAGAACTTGTTCACTACTTATATGAAGTACTAAAAAATACTAAAAGAAGTACTAAATCACTGGACAGTGGAGCTCAGAGAAGTAGAGGAAATGACTTTTTTTGTTTTTCATTGTTTTTGCAATGCTGGGGTTGAACATATGGCTT